CTAGGCAGCGCGGGGAAACAGGATTGCGAGAGACGACGGTAGTAACAGCGGTTACTACCGCTAGCGTTGCTAGCAACACAGCGCCAGGCAACAAGGGTGCTTATTACGTGGCCGTTTTCTGTATTGTCCGATCGAGGCTATATGAGGCGCAGCGAAGGCTATTCACAGTCAGTCAGCCAGTCAGTGCGTTACCAACGAGTTCTCAGTTTGCAAGTTACGAGCTACAGACGCGTGTGCGATAACCAGTGATAACCAGTTATATCTGGAGTGTGTAATTCAGGGAGACTTGTATAGCTCCCGCGTTATTAATACGTGAAGACTCTTGAAGATAGTGTTAAGAGATTTTGTTGTAGGGTTTGTAAAGTGTGGAAACCCGTAATATTGTGATAATTAATTGTAGCCGTTAGTTGAAGATTGTTAAATAAACCAATTAACCATCTCTACGGCATCTTCTGTAACGAAACACGTTACAATATGTTAACTTTCTATTGATTATTATAGGTAATCTTTCGATATTTATCAATGACTACCTCTAAGCCTAAACTGTTGATAATAATGTCAATTTATATCGGAATGTATTTGGCAGGAATAATACATAATTTAAATTTCACAACCTTGATTGTTAATGAAATGTACAGGAGAAATGGAAGGTCAATATGGGAACCTGGAGGATAAAAAAAATTATGTCTAATATGGGAGTTCCCAGAAAATGTGGGAGAGTTGGTCACCCTAGTTGTTGCTCATGTCAGTTTGCTTGAGCAGTTGCCCAGGCATTTGCCTGGAGAGTCGTGGCAATTACTAGGACACTGTACATGTGCTGCTTTATTCTGCAGTCTGAAGGAAAACGTGCTTGGTTAATGTCTAGGAGAATACAGGTCCTGTTTGGTGGATGCTTTCCACACCATTCCCAATTGTGTTCTGGAGTGCAGGGCTCAGGAAGACTGATGTGGACAGTACATTTCTCTTTCCAATGCACTTCCTGTTTTCCCCTCCAGAAGTGCAGGTTTTCTATTGACTTGAATGTTAGGAATAACTTGCACAAGCAACAAGCATTCTGGGGCTTATTAACATAGGGACAAGAGGATGAAGGGGAATACAGCAGTTGGCAGGGAGTGGGAAGTAAATGCAATGTCATCCTTGCTGTCCACAGGGCTTCACACCATGACCTCAATTCGGAGACATTAGCAGCTGGTAATTGAGTTGTCCTGTGAAGTGTGTCTAGACTGAGGGTTATTTAATTGGTAACAAATTATAAAACTGTCCAGCTGCTGTAAATTGTTGTAGTCCTCTTGCCATCTTCCAAGTTGGAGAACAATCCCTTCTGAGCTGTCTGAATCTCTTTATTCACAACTATGCCATTCAGTGAGGGGGTTGTCCTCTAGCATGAGGTTGGCAAAAGAGCAAACAACCCCAAAATTAAAACCAATAAGAAGTTCTGGGAAGAACTAACCACCTACTTTTCTTTGATACGACGTGGCCGGCATAGAAAACGATGCTCCAACAATTCTTCATTGCCTCAGGAATGTCTGTACTGAGTTCTTACCTAGCTAAGATAAGGGGATGCACAGACAGACCCACAGACACATGCATCCAACAGTTCTACTTTTGTATGTATTTGTTGCTGCAGGAACGTGTTTACCAAGCCGTTGCCTAGCAGTGGAAGGAGGGATACAACTTACTGAGCCTTTGCCTAGCAATGATAAGAGGGATGCACATACAAACACACAGACTGATGGGAGGGATTTATGAAGTATGCCATTGAGATGGGCTCAGGTGTCATGATATGCATACTAAGTTAAATGAAGATAGGTTCGGGCATTTAGATCACATTGGATTCTGATGCAGAATATCACAAAGAAAATGACATGGGCATCCTCTCTTACTTGAATCATGCAGCAGTGTTGTCACAATTTATATGTGTGACTATAGATGGGGTATTGACTGGTGAATGAATTTATTGACCACTTACAGGTCATAACTACAAATAACTATAACTAGGGCCTGGATTTTTATGACCTAAAAACTATAAATATATGCCTGCACTTATGACCTAAAAGTGTAAAATATGACCTTAAATATTAAATGGGACATAAAATTTCACAATTTTAATTACAACTTTTACTAGAGTTTAAGAATAAAGATGATGAATATATGATAGTAGGTCCTACTTACCAAATTAGCCCTATTATGTCTCTGAAGGAAAGAAAACTGATGGAATTTCGACATTTCGTACTGGATTAAACCATTCATTGTTTTCTTTT